TGGAGCAGAGCACAGTCTGTACCCAGCCCCGTCCCCTGCCACACAGGGAATGGCAAACAGCAGCCTTCTCTAAGGAGTTTCACAGGCCAAAATGCAGGGATAGACCTTCCCATTCCCATCCAGTTGTTGGCTTTGCATAAACCCAAAACTATTGCTCTTAGCAAGCAGGTCCAAGATTGTGACAGACCCTGTGGTGCTCTGTGCTGAAACAGATTTTTCCACTCTTCACTCACTCCTAAAGACAAGATGATGAAAAGCAAAGTGGCCACAGATGTTGGTGGGGGCTGACCTGCTCCTCCAGCCTGAGGGACAGGGCAGACCATGGCTGGCCAGAGCAGCTGTGTCCCCAGCCAGGACACGGGCTCTCTCTCACTCCTGCCATGCTTCCATCACCATGGCCAGCTCTGCACACACCTCCAGAAGAACCACAGACTGGCAGCACTTCTGGAAGTGAAACATTAGATTTGCTCACAGCCAGCCCAGGTGAGCTGCAAAAGTCCCTTACCTAGCTGTAGCAAATTTGGAGCATCACCTCGTTTTGAGACTCTGTCCCATAACATCCTCACAGACAAGTTAATGGAGTATGGGCTAAATAAATGTGAAGAAAGTTGGATTGAAAATTGGCTGAATGGTTGGGCCCAAAGTGTTATAATCAGTGGCACAAATCACATGTAGAGCCCAGACATTAGTGGTGCAAGCCAGGCATATTAAGTTTAATTTCTTAACTAAGGATCAGAATGTTGGCGCACCCTCAGCAAATTTGTGGAAGGCACAAAACTGGAAGTAGTGTTGGGAATACCAGAGGGCTGTGTTGGCATCCAGAGGTCCTCAGCAGGCTGGAAAAAAATGGGCTGACAAGAGCCCCTTCAAGTTCCAGAAGAAGTGTGGAGTCCCAATTGGGGACTCCAAGTGGGGAGGAACAATTCCATCCGTACATGCTGGTGGCTCTCCAGCTGGAAAGCAGCATGGCAAAAGAGGTCTGGAGGGTCCTGGTGGTCAGCAAGGTGACCACAGTGCAGCAAGGTGTCCTTGCAGCAAGACAGCCAATCTCTCTGTGGGCTGCCTTAGGAGGAATGCTGCCAGCATTTCCAGGGAAGGGATCCCTCCCTTTCTCTCACACACACTGGGCATGTATCACATATCCACACCCCAGCCTGGCAAAAGCAGACCAGGACTTGGGGTTTAGCCACCTGCAAAGCTCCATACATGGATTTACACCGTTTTAAAGCACTTGTTGGAGTCCAAGAGCTGATGCAGCTCCCTGAGCAGGCCTATTCCCATCGGTAAAAGCTGAGTCAAGGAGTGCAGCCAAAAACAGCAGTAAAAGCCAATCTGCTACCAAGTGGTTTTAATGCACCACTTCAAGGCCACTTAGGCTTGAGAAAGGAGTGAAGCCAAAGCATGTGAAGCTGAATTAGGGCCATTAGAATCTTTCCTGGCACAGCTGACCAGTTCAAGCTTTGTACCCAGCTGATGCAGCCAGGCAGCTCCTGCCGGGCGAGCCAAACCAGTCAGGGATCATTCAGCTTTTTTCTGGTGCTGTGTCTGGTTGAGATCCAGTGGTGACATGGTTCTGACCACATCCAGCACTGGGCTTGGTCCAAGGGATCTCCTCAGAGACACCTTCCCAGAGAGCACAGAAGAGGAAACATCAACCATCTTCTCCAGCAGAGAGCGGGTGAGGTAATTCACAGATTTAGACCTCCTGAATCACACAGAGCTTAGCTGTCAGACACCAACACCAGCTGCCTTGTCCTCAGCACCAAGTGGTCTTCACATGCGCCTAAAATCAAGAGGAAACTCTCTAGTGCCCTGTGTCACCTGCATGATCAATTTGCTCATATTTACCTGCTCTCCCAGAGCTGGTGGCCCACTCCCAGGCAGGTGGATAAGTGATAACTGGTAAGTGACAGCTACATGACAAACACGTGGCACACCTCAATCCTTTTCCCTAGGAATGGCCATTGCAAGTTCAGTTTTCCCACCTAGAACCCCAAAGGATACCTACATCACTTACAGCACTGGAGGTTGCAGGGCACCAGAACGGGCACTGAGTTACACCTGGGAGGTTTTCTGTCATTCCCACCTTTCTACATCTATCCTATACAGGGGGAATCTCAGTCCTCAGGCAACCAGGAGGGTTCTCCTAGGGCACACAGCTGCAGGGAGGCATTCCTGCATCCACCTTTCCAGCAGCTGGCTGCACCTGGGATCCAGAGATTGTCACATGGCACTGGAGGCTTTCCCTGCTCTCCATCCCAGAGCAGGCTCTGCCAGAGACCTCACTCCCACCAGCAGACTGTGATCCTGTTACTGATTAACCAGCTCAACAATGCTCCACTCCAAGATATCCATCACTGACCCGACAGCCACTGCCTCCTTTGTGTGTCACTCCAACCTGCCAAGCAGCTCATTAAGGCACCAGAATCAGACAGAGCAGTCCTGAACCTGGTTCCCTTGTACAGGTGGTGACAGCACGGGTGGCAGTGGCTTCATGCTGACAGAGGGCAGTCGAGATCAGATGTGAGGAAGAGATTGTTCCCTGTGAGGGTGGGGAGGCCCTGGCACAGTCCCTGCCTGTGGCTGCCCCATCCCTGGAAGTGTTCCGGGCTGGGCTGGGCAGGGCTTGGAGCAACCTGGGTAGTGGAAGGTGTCCCTGCTCAAGGCAGGGGGTGGAATGAGGTGGGCTCTAAAGTCTCTTCCAACCCAAAACATTCTGGGATTCTGTAACCAACCCAAATCCTCATTTCCTGTTCCCAGGAACTCACCCAGAATTCCCTATTTCCCTTCCCCATTCCCAATAACTCCCCTAGAAATCCGTTCCCAGGAACTCACCCAGAATTCCATGTTTTCCATTCCCAATAACTTACCCAGAGTTACATTAGAGTTACATTAGAGTTACATTAGAGTTACATGTTACCCAGAGTTAACATTCCCAATAACTTACTCCATGTTTTCCATTCCCAGGAACTCACCCAGAATTCCCTATTTCCCTCCCCTATTCCCAATAACTCCCCCAGAATTCCGTTCCCAGGAACTCACCCAGAATTCCACATTTTCCATTCCCAATAACTCACCCAGAATTCCACGTTTCCCATTCCCATTCCCAGTTAAATCCCCATTTCTCCCTCTCCATTCCCAGTAACTCCCTCAGATTCCCGTGTTCCCCACTCCCATTCCCAGTAACATCCTCTCGTTTCCCACTCCCATTCTCAGTAACTCGCCTGGAATTCCTCATTTCCCATTCCCTCACCTGGAATTGGCTCAGTTGGTCAGAGCATGGTTCTGACATGGACAAGGCTGTGAGTTCATTCCCTGTATGGGCCATTTACTTTAGAGCTGACTCAATGATTCTTGTGGATCCCTTCCCACTCAGAATATCCTGTGAATCTGTGATTCCCTGGAGGGAATAAATACCCTACAGCCCAGCCCAGGAGTGAGCCCTGCCTGCCCCATGTGCTGCACCCCTTTGAGGGAGAGCTGAGGAGATGCTGCTTGAAATAATTTGAAGCCAGGCCTGGGCATCCCTGAAATATAAGGGGAGTGAAGATCAGAACTCAGCCTGAACAGATGTGAGGCTCTCCCATCCAAATCACCCAATGCATTTCCCTTCTTTGGATGTGCAAGGATTCATTTCACCAGTGAGAAAGCAAAGGCAGCCCGAGGAGAAATTAATGGTAAAGGAAAAATATGTTAACTGCACCAGAGTGGGGCAGCTTCCCGTGCAAAATTTCATCTTCTGCTGGGTGCAAGGGTGTAGGATGGCAGTGTCTGGCTCACCCACAAGGACTGCTGTCTGTTTGATCAGAGGAACTCGAGATCTTGCAGCAATGCTAAGCTGACAGCTTAGATCAGATGCCCTCCTCTGAGGGGAGGAAAAAAATCCAGTCTGCTGTGAAAAACATCTCCATCAAAAGAGATGCACCCTGGGAATGAGTGCAGGGAGAAAAACACCCCTCCAGCTCATGTGCATGCTGAGGCTGCTGCCACAGGGCTGGGGGAGGCAAAGTCATACAGCTAGGTGGGTTCTGGTTTAACAGTAAACCATTCTCTCCAGCACCCAGCTCAATTTGCAAGGTTGCTTCTCTCAGCCATCACTGTGAAAGAGTCCTGAAGTGAATTCTACTATGGATTAAATTAGCCTGTAAGGTCCCTTAAGTTCACCATCTTCTTCTCTGCCCTTTCTCCTGCATTGCTATTCAAGACTTCCCTCTCCAGCCCCTTCTCTGTCATTTGCAGCACTTTCACAGCCTTAAAAACCTCTCAAATATGCCGCACTTCTGATATTTCAGATTCCTCCAGTGAGATGGGGAGGATAGGTTAAAAAAAAAAAAAAAGGAAAAGAAAGAAAAAGGAAAAAAAAAAAAGAAAGGAAAAGAAAGAAAAAGAAATAAAAAGAAAGAAAAATACCCCTTAAATTTCTCAAATAATATATAAAAGCTATTAAACACTGAAAAGTCGCCAGGTCTACCACTGCATTTCATTAACAGAACAGTGCTTCTGAAAGGTACCCAGAAACAGGAAAACTTGATGGGCTGCTGAACACAAAATGCTGTGTTGCACATTCCCAGGTTATAATTTTGATAGGGAAGGATGCTAAGTTGTATTGGATAAAGAAGATAATGCTGAGGATGAACTTGAGGTCAAGCTCAGGTATACTGAGAGTCCATTTTAAAACCTTCTGTTATTTTAAGTGGTAGAGAAGGAGAAAGGACAGAGTTAAAGGAGAATTAATTATTTTAAAAGAAGGAAAAAGTAAAAATAAAATCCTTTTAAAAACTAAAAAAAAAAAAAAAAAAAAAAAACAACAAAAAAAACTTTAAAAATAAATCCAGCAGGAAAGAGGACATTTGGATAGATTGTTGGCAAGAGACCCAGGACAGAGCAAGAGGAAAGGTGGAGAATTCAAAGGGGAACTTTCTTAACATTCACTTGGAGCTCACTAAGTGGGAGGAGAAACAAATCAGTAATATCAGGACAGGAGCCATGCTAGCCTATATAAGCTGGTGGGACATTTTCTTTTTCCCTACTTTCCTTCTGGCCTAACCAGCAAACCTACGGCTCCTCCCAAGCTCGTCTGAGAGGTAAGAGCACTCTGTTCTTTCCTTTTAATGCACCCTGTTACTGACTTACCTGGGTCTTTCCTCTCCTCAAAACACCTGGCAAGCAGCATTTGAGCAGCCCTGCTGAAGGAGAGCAGCTGAGGCTCAGGAACAAGAATATGAGTTATCAAGGAGTTTCTAGCAGGGTGAGGATTTATTAGTACTGCATAGCCCAGGTGGACGAGCCTTGGAGGAAATAGACAAAAGAAATAAATTTTTAAAAGAAATAACCAGAACTCTTTAACATTTCTTTTTACTGCCTTTCCATCCTGCCAAATGAAAATGCCCAGATAGTAATAATACACAGCTGATGAGATAGTGTCTCTGTATTTCTCTGTCCCTGAGAGACAGGTCTCTGAAAACTGAATTGCGTGTGAGCTTAATGAATATTTGAATCTGAGGTGTAAGCTTTCTTTTGATTAATACTTTGAAATATATCTTCTATGGGAGAACCTGAGCTGTTTTCTTCCAGTGAGGGTCAAGTGCATTATAACCTGTTTCAAGGATTGTGCTTGTGCTTGCGTGTGTTCTTATGCCTAACACAATATTAATCCAGCTTTACTACACCCCTGGTAACATCACACGGGCTGTGCTGGAATTAGAGCTGCTGAGAGTCTGGCCCTTTCCTCCTATTGTGCTTGGATGCAGGAATTCCTCTAAAAACAGGCTGCTCACAGAGCTGGGCTGCCCGCAGACTTCACAGCAACAATTCGGAGAATGCAAGATACAATGGCCGCGATTGTGCGGTAGCAGGTCCTTGCACAAACAAATGCCTCACCATAAATTAAACCCTTGGAGAAACCTGGATTTTGGCAGGGAGAGAGGAAAATCCCAGAAAGAAGACAGAGCACTAGATAGCTTTGCTGCATTTCCACAGGTAAAAGCCCCGTGTCCAAGCTTGGAAGCGCCCCTTACCTGGAATATCAATCAGCCAAACTAAAGCTCTGTCCCTCTCCCAGCTGCGAGCACAACGCTGCTCTTACCATGCACAGCACAAAACCAACCTGTGGCCAGGCTTGTCTCCTCCTCAGCAGGTGGATAGAGGAGTGTTTGCAGGGCCAGGTGCTGCAGGAGGGCAGCCCCAGCTCCAGAAGGCATGACTGGGATGCTGTGGGTATGGCCTGGCAGGGAGGAAGTGCACACCAGTGGAAGGAAAATTGATTTAGGGAGACACGGGGTTGCATAACGTCAGCACTTTGCTACAGGACATTTATTAACTCTGAAAGGATGATTAGAAAAACACGGTAGATAAACATCTCGGCCCTGTGATGGTTTCACCTTCATAAAAGAGAAACATCTTCTGTGTTTTCTGCTTTGTTTCATGGGAAGCTCTCACTTCCCGTGAAAATGGTTTTTCAGTAGTTTCTCTGCACTTACAGCACGCTACAAACCACTTGCACTTACAGCATTGAGATCAAAAGTGCGTTCAGACTGGCTCTGCCTGGGTCCTGCTGCTGCTCCTGTATCTCACCAGTTACACACCAGTACTGGGAGTTTGCACTGCAGGGCTGGAGCACCTCTCGAGAGTTTATGTGAGACGAGGCAGTGTGCTCCAAGCTGCCTGTCTGAGAACAGAACTTAGTCTCTATTTTTTTTTTTTCGTTTTTCCCTGGACTAATAGAAATCAAGAATACAAAAATTACCAAACCTACCCCCCTGCAGAAGCCAAGCAGTCTGTTCCAGCAGAACACTCCTTTTGCAATTATTTCCATTTCCTTGCTTTGTGCACTAAGAAAAAATAACGCCTTCAGTGAAAACCTTGTGTTTGCATAACTTCAGCTGCAGGTCTTCAAAAGACCTGCTGCAGACCAGCACACATGAAATCCCCATCAGAACATGTACACTTCGGTCTGCATTATTATTCAGACATCATTGTGTTAAAATTCTCTGAGCATATCCACAATTCTGAGATAAAACACCTTTTGTATTCTCTCCTTTCCTAAATTCCTGCTATCACCTACCCCTGAAGCAAAATAATGTTAACAAATCAATAATCTGTGCATATATACGGCAGGTAGTGGTTTGTAAAATCACTAAAAATGCCTAAAAACGTTTATGGTGGTGTCAGTTTCCAAGTGTTTCACTACCTCTTTATGATCTTATTGGACAACTCAGTAGAAGTAGTGCAAGTCCTTCATACTTTGTGTTTGTGAACAGATGGGACAAGCCTCAGGGCTGTGCTGACACCAAAACCCCCTCAGACAGGATGCAGACCCCACACAGTGCCTGGGATGGGATTCAGGGAAGTCATGAAATCAGCGGGGCTGGATCTGGGTCTTTACTGTGTCATGAGGGCCCCATCCCAAACCAAAGGTTTCCTTGGCTACACCCACTTCCCACCTGGCTGCTCTGCAGGTGAGGAGGCTGTTCAATAATGGTTTCACTCTCCCTTAACATAAAAAATCACAGAATGGTTGGGGTTGGAAGGGGTCTTTAAGGCTCATCCAGTCCCACTCCCTGCTATGGGCAGGGATACCTTTCACTATCCCAGGTTGCTCCAAGACCTGTCTATCCTGGCCTTGAACACCTCCAGGGATCCAGGGGCAGCCACAGCTTCTCTGGGCAATGTTCTCATGGAACAATTTCTTCCTGACGTTTAATCTCACCCTGCCTTCTCTCAGCTTGCAGCCACTGCCCCTTGTCCTGTCACTCACCACAAGCTCGACTGGACAATGAAATTCCTGTGGTCCCTCTAGAGACACCCATGCCCAGCTCAAATGGGAGTGCCTGAGGGGTTGGAATAGTGAGCTTTAAGGGTCCCTTCCAGCACAAGGTACTCTATGATTCATTCTGACATAATGAACAGGAGGTGGGCAGCCCTGCAGGACAGAGGGTAACCAGGATCGCCCTGCAGCCTCTGTGGCTCGGAATGCTCCGGAACGCGCTGGGCAGGCACTGGGTGTGAAGCTGGAGGCAGCTTGGTGCCAGTGACTCACCAGGTCACCTGGTCTGCTTGCCGTGCCAGCTGCAGCGAGCTGGCTTCATTTCTGCCCCTGGAAAGGGCAGAGGAGCGCTGCCAGCTCACTGTTGCCTTTATATGGCAAAGCAATACATCCAATTTTTGGTGAATTCAGGCCCTCAGCCTCTTCCAATTTTTCATCTCCACTGTACAAGGGGAGTGGACAGTGACTGCAACACTTCACATGCACATTCCATCCCATCCTGCAGACCCCTGAGTGCAAACAGCCCCGCACCCAGCGTGCAGGGGAACACCCAGGGTCTCACGGCACTGCTCTGCACTGCAGCAGAAACTCATTTTACAGCCTGGCAACAGGGAAAGCCCAACCTGCATAAAGAGGGAGATCCTTTGAAAGGAAAATGTAAATGCACTTTCACCAAATGGAGAGCGTTTTATCTTGGCTGGAAATTTTGATTTAACTGAAAGTACATTCCGTTCACTTATTCCAGAATAAAGTATGAAAAAAGTGAAGGTTAATGAATTAACATAATAAGTTATAACAGACACAAAAAAGCCTTCCTTTATCAAGACACCATCCGTAGCACCACTTTTTCCTCCTCTTCTTTTCTTCCTTAGCCTTTTTTATTCCAGGTCCTTACCTTCATGTCCTACACAAAGCCAAACTCAATACTCTTCTGTATTTACTGGTCCTGCAATCAGCATCTCATATAGAACCTATCCTTTTATTATCTGAGCTCTTCCAGAAGGCAGAAAATGTCCATGTTTTATTTGTGCAAGTATTTACTGCTTCCTGAAATGTCACCACCATCCCTCCAGTACCACAGGAACAAGAAAATGGCCAGGATTAACCAATGGTGCATTGACCAGGCTTTCCCCTACACAGACTCAGAGCTGCTTAACCACACTGGAAGGGTCTGGAAGTGCAATGCCCAGGGGTGAAGCAGCTTAACTACTCAGCACCTGTATTTCTGAGCTATGGGTTCTCTCCCACCACTGTTTACCAGGCCTTTAATAAAGTTTTGAGAGAATCAAGAACTAACACAAGACCTATGTGCCTGTATCATCCTATTTAGACTATCAGCTCCCAATATAAATTCATTACTTCTTGCACAAGCTGGCACTCACCAGCAAGACCTGAAGCACCATTGATTCTATATTCACTCAACAACACACTTCGTCTGGTGTTTGCTTGATAATCACCAGGAATTAGTTCAGGAAACAGAGTATGCTCCAGAAACAGGGCTTTTTATTTATTTGGTGACTCTTACACAAACAATAAACTGGCTATAGGCACTGATTTTTACTGTTAGGTGTAAGGCTCTGATCCATGTGCCTGAACAATGCTGTCTAGGCTGTATGAGGTGCCAAAGGTTATTCCAGCAACCCCTTATGCAAAGGGTGTGTGTCCCAGAGGGGACCCCATCTCCCAGTCCTGCATCCCAAACACCTTATTTAGACCTAAACACCTTTGCTGGACCTATAACAGCATCCTATCTTATTTAAACTTTTTATAGCACCTGGTAAATTTAATAAGTGTATTTTCACTTATCTCCAAGGGTTTCTTACTACAGCTTCCAACATGCAGTCCCCAAAATTGTCTCAGCAGAGAAAAAAGCAACAGGACTAAGGCAGAGTGGAAAGCAAGAACTGTGAATTCTGGAATCAAACTCTTGAATCAATGCTGGGTACTTCTAAAGTTTGGTCAGGTTAAAGTGCAGTTCAAATGAGAAAAAGGAATGTATGAATGCATGTGAGTTATGGAATAAGACTCCATGGGCAACCTCAGGCTAAGCCTGTGCTCACGAGAAAGGCTGAACTGATCCCAGTAGGTGATTATAAAACTGAATTTAGGTGCCTATTATTGATGGCTGATGGATGAATTCAAACTGGAAGTATGGGTTAAGCAGCAGAGAAACTTAATAAATGAGAAATATTCTTATAACTGCGTGGAAGTCTGGGAGGACAGGGAATGCGAAGAGGGAATGTGCTCATGGACACAAAAGAATCAGGTGCTCAGAGCAAGGATTTTCCTCCTTCTGGTTCCAAAGTAACATGTGGTGAGCAGTAATGTGGCAAAGAGAATAAACAGGGATCAGAAAGAGACATTGTAATGAACTCTCTTTTTTTTCTTTTCCCTTGAATTTTACCGAAGGTTCAGAACGTCAACATGGAAAACTGTGTTGATGTCAAGATAGAAAGCAAGGGGGAAAGAATGCCAATGAAGCAGAATCCACTGAGCACGGGTGGGAAGAGTTTTTGCAGAGCTGTGGGTTACCTCACTGGAGACATGAAGGATTTTGGAACCTGGCTGAAAGGTAAACCTACTTCATCGTGACTAATGACAGCGGATTCCAAAAAAAAAGTACATCAAAGGAGTAATAACTAACTTCTTAGTGATGTGATTCAAGTTAGAGTAGTATAGAAACTCCCTCTACCCTGATTTATGTTTGTTTTGTAGGGGGAAAAAATCAGCTTTGTGCAGAGATCCACATAGTGCTTAAATCTTGGGGATGTCTGAGATGACATTTACCTCCCAGCATGCCATGTACAAAGTGAATTTAGTCCCACAGAACATAGTCCTGGATGGTTATTCTGTACTCTGCCATTCTTCTTAACACTCCATGTCCTTTCAGCTGAGCAGTTTCTGTCAAGCCTAATGCCACTGTGAAGTTAAATTACACATAGGTAGGTGTGTTTGGTCCCTGTAATAAATCAGCAGTGGGATACACACACGATTTGCCATCTGAGTCACAGACATCATAAATTAGCTGGTTCATATGAATCTGGTCCAGGGTAGTTTATAACACAGGGTTCTGGCAACCTCACTGTTCATCTCAGTTTTCCAGCTGTAAGCCTTCACTGTGGACCATAATAAATCCCTGTCAGGTTTTACAGTCTTGTTGATTCATTGCTTCAGCCGTGGTGCCAAGTCCCACTGCCAAAACTTTTCCTGAGTTTCAAAAATACACCCCAAATCAGTACCATCTGTAGACTTTAGGGGGCTTGTTTTATGACTGGATTTGATCTTTTCCAGACAAGCCCCTCGTGATCCAGCTCCTTGATTGGGTGCTGCGTGGGATATCCCAGGTGATGTTTGTTAACAACCCCCTCACTGGGCTGGTCATCCTGGCCGGGCTCCTGCTGCAGAACCCGTGGTGGACACTCACAGGATGTGTGGGAACACTGGTCTCAACTTTAACAGCGCTCATTCTGGGTCAGGACAGGTAAGTCCCTGCTTTTCCCCCTCAGGTGGCCACTTCAGTGCTGATTTATGTGTTAGATGTTTGGTGTGGATGAGGAGCCTGAATTTAGTGGGAGGTGTCCCTGCCCATGGCATAGGATTGGAACAAGGTGGTCTCTAAGGTTCTTTCCAACCCAAACATTTCTTTCTGTGATTGTGTGGCCCAGCCTTGGCTGGGCATGTGTCTGGCCTGGTAGGGCCAGAGAGATCTCCCAGCAGCTGCACCTGGCACAGGGGGACACTGGACAAACCTGCAGAAGTGGGGGTAGGTGCTGACCCAGGTGTGAAAAATCAAATTTCTGTGGATGAGTTCCAGCAGGTCATCCCCAAACAAAGCCACAGCTGGGTGGGGAGGGAGGGCTGATGCCAGCAAAGCATCCTTTGGGGAGAGGGCTTCAGGACAGCTGTTCCCTCCCCACAGATCAGCCATAGCAGCAGGGCTGTATGGATACAACGGGGTCCTGGTGGGATTGCTGATGGCTGTCTTCTCCGCTGATGGAGACTACAACTGGTGGCTCCTCCTGCCTGTGGCACTGGTGTCCATGACCTGGTAAGACAGATGGCTCCTCTGCTTCTCCTTCCACCCCTAGAGTCCCCACTCATGAATCTGAGCTGCTGGATTTCTATGCAGCCAGCAGTGGAAAGGCAACGCAACTAACACATATGTACTGTTAAATCGGTGCTGTTATTTACACTTTTAAACTCAGATGTAATCCAGAAACAAATAAAAATACCCACATAATCACAAATAATCCCAGTGGGGAAAACAAAAATCAGTGGCTGATCATGTGTAATTCAATGTTCTGAACGTGAGTCATATTGCTGCGATGCATCAATTCATTTCTGTTTCAAGAGGAACATTATTTTCACTATTTCCTACCATCATCAACCACAAGTGTTTCATCTATTTAAGTTGCCATATAAAAATGTCATGAAAATTTACTTCTCCAAGCACAGAAGTTGTTCAGTGGTCCCAAGACATGATGGTTGACACTAATCAAAACAAACAACTAGTAATATTTTACTCGTATATATGACACCATAATCCACTAGGTATTTGGCCAGCAAAAAATTTTGAAACCTGGTCTTTGACCCCAAAATGTCTAGCTGCAGATTGCTAAAACCACACGTGTAATTTGTCTGCCTGAATTTCATGTGGCGTTACAGTCACTTTGATGTCAGCTTTTACTGCTGATCCACAAGCTTGAGCAAGGGCACACAGCCTCATTCACAGTTCACTCAGACCCAACATGGGTATCACAGTCTCAGTCCAGCTCAGGTGCTAAAAATAAAAGGTAAGCACTGAGATTGAGCTGGAGAATAACTCCATTAAATCACTGGATTCTGTCTCCTTCACCAGATTCTTTACCAAATTCACCATACATAACACGACAGGAATCTGTACATTGATAATTGCCTTTGGAGGGGTAGCAAATTTATGGAGTGACCCTTTCTGTCTCTGATTTGATCAGAAAGATTGAGGAAACTAAAAAGACAGAAGGAGGAGAAGGTTGTTTTGGTTTGGTTTGGTTTTTTTGTTTGTTTAAATAGACTAAATTTGCTGCAGCTGGGTTTATAGTTGGATGTGGTTCTGGTGTGATTTTTGCCCGTCTGACAAGTTTAATTTTGCTCTTCTTTCAGCCCTATTTTCACCAGTGCTTTAAGTGCAGTTTTCTCTAAGTGGGATCTGCCTGTTCTCACGTTGCCCTTCAACTTGGCCCTGATCCTCTACCTGGCTGCTTCAGGACCACACAACCTCTTCTTCCCCACGACTGTGATTCGTCCTGCAATGGCAACACCGAACATCACCTGGGCAGATGCTGAAATCACAATGGTAGGGTGTCTTAAGGGTATCAGTCCCCCTCATTTGCAATTAAAAACACTACAGAAACGTATTATCTTCCTTTATAAATTCCTATGGATTGGGTTGGATGGGGCCTTAAATGACGATCCAGTGCCACCCCCTGCCATGGGCAGGGACATCTCCCACCATCCCAGGCTGCTCCCAGCCCCATCCAGCCTGGCCTGGGGCACTGCCAGGGATCCAGGGGCAGCCACAGCTGCTCTGGGCACCCTGGGCCAGGGCCTGCCCACCCTCCCAGCCAGCAATTCCTAATTCCCAATCTGCCAAAATCTGTGCCTGCCCTCTGGCAGTGGGAGCCATTGCCTGGCTGCTGTCCCTGCCTGCCTTGTCCCCAGGGGCTGTGCAGCTCTCCTGGAGCCCCTGCAGGCCCTGGCAGGGGCTCTGAGGTGTCCCTGGAGCTTCTCTGGTGCAGCTGAGCAGCCCCAGCTGTGCCAGGCTGGCTCCAGAGCAGAGGGGCTCCAGCCCTGGCAGCAGCTCCGTGGCCTCCTCTGCACTGGCTCCAATAGGTCCACCTCCTTTTTTGCTGCTTTATGGCCTGGCAGTACAAAATTTGATTTATAAGAAAACTATTATCCAAAATATAAGGGTTTACTCTAGGAATGTACATTTTTTGATAGCTTGAAAAGGAGAATCCTTTCATGTGTAGTTGGATCCAGTTGTATAGATTGTAGTCTTCAAATACTCTCCTGAATCTAATTACCCATTTCTATTTCTATGCATATACTGATCATCTCCCCATTGCTAAGGTTGTGCTGAGAATTCCAGTTAACTCACTGGGTAATTTTTAATTTTTCAGGTACAGGCCGTTTATAAAATGGCATCTTTCTGATTAGACCATGAGCAAGCAGATATTACTGTGTTGGAATGGTTAAAAATTTGGGTGCAGGCACACATTCACGGATTTTTAATTTATATTCAAATGACACCTTTCCAAAGGAACATTTTATTCTCCTGGACTACACCATAAATAATACACATACCAGAGTAACTATTTTCTCCTAAGGCTCAGCTGACTATTTTAAGGGGTTCCCATTGAGTGTTTAAGAAAAGTAAGTTAATTGACACTAAACAGAAACCCACAAGTGACATTTCACGAAGAACATTTACCATGGCACATAGTTTTATGGGGACTGTATACAAAAAGTGCCTCAAAACCATCTCTAAGCTGTGACCAAGCTGGGCTCTGTTCCACCAGCCCAGCAAGTCTTGCTCATATTCCTAGTGGATCCCAACCATCTCCTAAGTTCACTCCCGTGGCCCCTATGGATATGCAAAAATCAGCAGATGCAAAGAGGATGATTAAACCCTTTCACAAAATCTTTACCTTTCATCTTAGAGCAAAAACCTGGCAGAGGAGCTCAGGGCAAGGGAACAAGCCATGAGTCATTTTCATGGAAGGGGAAACCCTGTGGAAATGCCCTGCTGTCTCCTGAGACCTGTCCAAATATTCCAATTAAAAAGAAAGACTGCATCCAACAAATGCCAAACGTGAGCCTGGCCAAGAAAAATAGGTTTAAAAAAAAAAAAAAAAAGGTTACAAAGCTGATAACAAATTGTCTTGTCTGGTTTGTTAATTTCTACAGCTCCTGCAATCCATCCCAGTCGGCGTGGGCCAGGTTTATGGTTGTGACAACCCCTGGACTGGGGGAATTTTCCTGATTGGTTTATTTATCTCCTCTCCACTCATTTGTGTCCACACAGTGATCGGCTCAGCAGTGGGGATGCTGGCAGGTAATGGTTTGGCTTGTGCCACAGATTTATATAAAAGCACGCAGACTAAAACAGGAACTACAATAACTGGAGCAATTAAAGTCACAAGTATTTCATCCAGTGGAGAATGGCTAATTGGAAACAAAATGTACTCAAACTTCTGCTTTAAGAATTCTTTTGATTCACTTCCCCATTCTCTTACCTTGTTTTATGAGGGTGGAAACCTTCAGAACAAAAAAGTGTCTGTTGTGCTGAGATTAATTTTTATCACAAAATGCTTAATTTTTTTTTTTGGGTGTATCCTGGTGGGTTTAGGGGCAGATCAATGAAAGTCATAGCCATCAGCCTGAACGTGCAGGCCTCAGGGATTCATTTAGGTTCACACGTAGGCTCATTCACTCATGTGTGTTCTGCTGAAATTAAATCACCAAAACCAGCTCAGCAGCACCAGGAAAATTCTGCCATGATTCCCTTTTAGACCCTAGCAACACGACTACAAACAGCCCCATGTACAAGTGCTGGCCAGAACCTTTGAAAATCTGGATTCATGCCACTTCTCCCCTGCTTTCATCCCTCTGGCCAAGGAATGACACATTTCTCTGGCTTTGTTTTCCAGGGCTGAGCTTAGCAACGCCGTTCAGCCAAATCTACTCGGGGCTGTGGGGCTACAACAGCTCCCTGTCGTGCGCTGCCATCGGGGGCATGTTCCTGGCTCTCACCTGGCAGACACACCTCCTGGCCATGGCCTGTGGTAGGTACCCAGCAGGGTTTCACCTCTCCTTGAAGTGAGACAGGGTGAGCAGAGACCTCTCCTCACAGCAGAGATGGGCTGGAGCCAGATGGGCACCCCAGGCAGGCAGATGGGTGTAGGTGAGGCTGACGAGTGGCGGGGCTGGGTGTTGGAGCCACGGCTTCCACGCACTCTGTGCTTTCATTTTTGGCCAAGAGCTGTGTTTAAAGAAAGAGCTGTGGTCGGTGGGCACGTGTTAACTGAGGTCTTTGAAATCAAATCAGCTTTGTTTTGAGTCATTAGTTGTGTTTGCCCGCTCGTTGCTGGATGAATCATGGGTGGGTTTTTTTTCCAGCCACAGATACTGGCTCAAATTCCTTCTTTGAAGAGGGACATGCCTAATCTTTGAGAAGAGTGGGGCTCTGCTCTAGTTAGACAGTGCACATTCCCCATTCTCTTGAAATGGATCAAAGGCATGAGCTGGGCAACACAGCAGGGTTGAAGAATTATTTATAAGGCAATTCCATATGAAATTTCAATATCAGAGCGAGCTGGGAGTGAAACTATTGCTCATTCAGTGCTCATATATGAGAGATTTAGCTCTGAATGTCATTGACCCACCTTCAAGCCCTGGAGGCAGGACAGATGAGAGTAGAAGGGTTATTTTCCTATTTAACCCCATCCATCAAGCTACATGCTTTCCATGTCAGAGCATTTTTCAAAAGCCCATTATACCATTGCACATTTTTCATCACTCCAGGTTTGTTTGTTTGTTTGTGTGTTTGTTTGTTTGTTTTGCCCCTTCCATAAACTCCAGGTTGGAGGGGACACAGGGAGGGGTTTAGCAGGGTTGTGCCCAGACAGGGTCATAATAATTGGTTGAGCTCCCCAAGGCAGAAGGAGAGATGTTTGTCATTGCTGTTCTACCCCATGAGCAGCTGAACTCACCAGCAACTGCCTTTCCTCTCCACAGCCCTCTTCAGTGCCTACCTGGGAGCAGCAGTGACCCACATGCTCTCTGTGGTAAGTAGTGTGTCAGCTAAGGGCTGATTTCCCTGGCTTGTCAGACAAAACACCAAGATGTGGAGAAAAACTCAGCCAAAGGCAGAAATGGTCTGGGACAGGGGTTACTGTCTGCCTAGGGGGTTGGTGTGATTCCCACTGGAACAGGTGATTTGGAATTATCCCTTGCCACTTTCCATCCTCGGAATTTTCATGAACTTCCATAGCTCAGCTCCAGACACTTGTGAGATCACATAATCAGGAATGGTTTGGGTTGGAAGGCACCTTAAAACTCATCAAGTTCCACTCCCTGCCATGGGCAGGGACACCTTCCACTGTCCCAGGGTGCTCCAAGCCCCATCTACCCTTGGATACTTCCAGGAATGAGGCAGCCACAGCTTCTCTGGACACCCTGTGCCAGGGCCTGCCCACCCTCACAGGGAAGAATTTCTTCCCCATACCCAATCTAACCCTGCCCTCTGTCAGAGGAAATGCCTCTTATCCTGTCTAGGTCCTTCCCCAAAGTGCCTCTCCAGCTCTCCTGGACCTGCTTTAGGCACTGCCAGGCTGCTAGAATATCTCCCCTCTTTAGGATATTTACTTCATGCCTGAAGCAATTGGAAAAAAGGCCCTGCACATGCTAAAGAGACATTAAATTTGGGTTAACTTCTTTTCTCATTTGCCAAAAGTCAGTCAGTACCACAGCCCAGGGAAGAGCTGAATGTTTCTGGTATCTGCTCTCCTGTCTCTTTGTCACCCTCTCCTACCTCATGTACACCCAAGAAACCTTCCCCATGGCAGATGAGGCAGCCCTCTCACTAGAGCTGGCAGATGTTTCAGGCTGATGCACAATGTCAAGACATCATAAGGAAACCCAGCCCCCTAAGGAAAGACTCAAAGCAAAACTGAGTCTAGACTTCCTCCAGAAACCTTGCTCCAAGGTGGCTGGCTGTGGGTGTCAGTCTAATAAAAGAAAGACACACAGTAAATGGGTGGTTTCCTGTTCTTCTTTGCAGTTTGGGGTGCCATCTGGAACCTGGCCCTTTTGCTTGTCTGCCCTGACCTTCCTGCTAATGACCACGAACCACTCTGGGATCTGCAGGCTGCCACTCTCCAAAGTCACCTACCCAGAAGCCAACAGAGCTTATTACCTGATGATGAAGAAACATGAGAAGTCCTGCTGTGAGGCATAGAGACCCAAGATGAGAGAAACTCAGCTCATTTTAAGGCAAAAGCACGAGGTGTTTGCCCAACAGACTGTGATTTGTGTGCTACAATGTCCAACACCACTTCTGCATGGAGAGACTTTTCCCACCACATCTGTTTGTTCTATTCAGGAGATCTCTATTAGGTAGGACTGGGCTGTGCTGGAAGAACCATTTCCCACTATCAACCTGTTATGATTGTAAAGCACACATGTCTGAAAAGACACTTGAATTATAAGCAATGGGAAAATTACTTTCAAGCTGAAAAGAAAATCTCTCTGTGAAATTGAAGACGCCGAAATCAGACGAAAGAAATAAAGAGCATCTTTCAGCATATGAGGGGACTTCAAATTAATGGCTAAACATCTCATGACAGCAATAGGAGGCATCCCAGAGAGTTTCATTGTAGCAGAGAAATGGAATAAAGAGCACTCCTTGCCAAGTAGAAAATAGGTTGTGAAGAATTCTACCTGGAGGACCTCTCAAACCCCATGGAGGGCGATGTTTATTAGCAATCAGCAAACATAAAATAGACATGATTTCTGTGATTTTTGTGTTAATCTCATGATTTCTTTTAGTACTTGAACTTGGTGATGGGTTAGCAAAGGAGGGGGCAGCAAGAAAGTCATTGCTGTCCCTTTCCTATGCAATAAAAGGGCTCTGTGCAGTCGGTGCACAAATAGAACTAATTTGAGCTGATTTTCTGGACTCCTCTCCCTACACTGTCCCACTCAGCCCAGGAACATCAAACAGCAAAATGTGGCACTGTCCCAGCCTGCTGCTGAAGCTCAGGAGGCTCGTGGGGACCATGTGGCTCTGCAGAGCTCCCTGACAGGAGGGGACATCCAGGGACAGCTCCAAGGGAACAGGACAGGAGGAGAGGGAATGGCCTCAAACTGTGCCAGGGGAGGTTTAAATTGGATTGGATTACAGGGGATAATATTGGATTGGATTATTTGGGATGAATTGGATTGGATTATTGGGGATAATATCTTTGTAGAAATAGTTATCAAGCCTAGGAAGAGGCTGTTTGGGGCAGCATCGGTGTCCCCATCCTGGGAGGGTTTTGAGGCCTTGTGGGGGTGGCACTTGGGGACATGGGTCAGGGGTGGCCTTTGCAGTGACTCTGTGGTCCTGTGAAGCTGCTGCTCTGCCTTTCTCTCTGCCCCACGGTGGGAAGGGCACATTTGAGATCAGAGCAGAGCTCTGCAGGGCACCAGCCAGGTGCCACCTGTGCCCAGGCTCCCCGGGCGTGCAGGGAGGGAAGAGGGGAGCTGTCCCTGCACCCAGCAGCGTGGATCACCCCAACAGGCATCAACCTCCCTGCCTGCCTCACTGACATGCTCTGTCTCATGTTGAAGCTCATATCTTCACCAAAAATATCCCCTGTGATCAGGTCCTTCAGCTGACAGGAGCCTACATGCATTAACATCACACCAGGAAAAGCAAACCAAAACCTGTTTTCCTTGTAGCAGATAAAATAAAATCTAACATGATTTCTGAGTTTGGGAAGGGGGGGAAAAAACCAAACCATGTATTTTTGCAAGCATCACAAAGGCCTGAGTGTAAAATATTTGTGATGAACTGTTGGCAGTATCTTCTGGTGAAGTTTTAGGTTTTCAGATGTTCAACAGTATTTCTGTATGACTGACACTCACTTGTAAAATGTAGCATTTCCATGATTCACTTAATAAATATTTACATAATGTTCTGTGGAGTCAATTTCTAGAACAAGCATTCATATTTTTTTGAGTTTGCTATAAGTTCCTCTCTCTTTATTATCATTAAGTTTTTCCAAACATAGGTTACCTCTTAAACAAGTAGTGTAGAAGACACTGGAAAATAAAATTTTTAAATCAGTGTGTGGGGGATACACGGGAAACTTTTAAATTCTGCTCTTTGTCCTTATCACAGAATCATAGAATCACAAAATTCTTTGGGTCAAAGGGTCCTTGTTCCACTCCCTATGCCAAGGGAAGCGACACCTTCCATTATCCCAGGTTGCTCAGGCCCCATCCAGCCTGGCCTTGGGCACTTCCAGGGGTCCAGGGGCAGCCACAGCTGCTCTGGGAAATTGATGCCAGGGCCTGCCCACCCTCCCAGCCAGGAATTTCTTCCCAATATCCCATCCATCCCTGCCCTCTGGCAGTGTAAACCCATTCCCCCTCTCCTGCCACCCGAGACAGCCAAAATCCTCCTCCAGCTCTCCTGGAGCCAGTTCAGGCACTTAAAGGAGCTTTAAGTGCTCCTCAGAGCCTTTTTCAGGATGAACAGCCCCAGCTCTCTCAGTCCTTTGGCATTTTGCACTCCTTGGGCATCAAACCTCCTTAAACCCGCAAGTGCAAAGCCTGGCTCTGTACAGGAGGCACAATCAGCCCAAGGGACAGCACTGGGTCAGCAGAGCTACAGAAATCTCCTCCAGACCAGGCAGGGCTTCATTCCTAGGGGAGAGGCTGGACAGGCCCCAGATGGGACTAGATGAGGTCAGGTTTTTTCCTAGAATATTCCTGGAGCAGGCACAGAGGGCCATGGAGATGCCCTGGGGTTTGGAGCTCCTCTGCTTTGGAGCCAGGCTGGGAGAGCTGGAGGTGCTCACCTGGAGAAGAGAAGGCGCTGGGGAGATCTTTTTGTAGCCTCTCAGCACTTTAAGATCTCTTTAAGAAAAATGTGAACAAACTTTTTATCAGCACCCGTTGCAATGGGAAAAGGATTGATGGTTTTAAACTAAAAAAGGATTGATTGTGACCAGATAAAAAGAAGGAATTTTTCATGGGTGAGGTGGTGAGGCACTGGCTCACTGCCCAGAGATATGGTAGATGCCCCATCCCTGGAAAAGTCAAGGTCCAGCTGGGCAGGTCTCTGAGCCACTTGGTGCAGTGGGAGATGTCCCTGCCCATTGCAGGGGGCTGGGCTGATGACATTCAGGTGTCCAACACAACCCAAACCATTCTCTGGTTCTGTGATTTATAAACTGTAGTGCAAAAGGGTATTTTAATGCCTGAACTGAGACCTCCCCACCCAGGACCACAAGTGCCCCAGAGAGGCAAACCAACAGAGGCTTCTTTCACCCTTCTGTCAAAATATGCACTTGAGCAAGAGAACAGAGTTTATGTCCAGTGTAAATCAGCAGATTTCCTCTGACTGGTGCTATTCCAGCCTGCTGTTGCTGAGCAACAGGGACATTTTGGCAGTACGATAAAGAAATCATACACACAGAACCGAAAAACAACAAAAGATGAAGGCTATGTCCCAGCAATTTAGAAAGATTTTGCACATCATTCAGAATTAACTCTACATTTTACACTATACAGCGAATTTATTCTGCCCATCACCAGTCAGGAAATAACAGCTATTTGGAAATTTGACATGTAAGTCAGTCAGAACATGCATATTATGTTTTTTCCCATTATCGTTCAAAGCACTGTATTTGCTAACAGGACTAATTTATCTTATTACTGAAACTGGGTTTTTTGGCTGTTTGGGGTTTTTTTTGGGGGGGGGGGGGTTGGGGTTTTTGGGGGTTTTTTTGGTTTTTTTTTGCTTTTGCTTTTGGGGTTTTTTTTCCTTTACATCAAATAAATACTATTCACATCACCCCTCTTTTTCACGCATTCTCTTTTCAGTGTTGTTTCTGATACACAGGTGATGCCAGACTTATAAGAAACACACAGAGCAGAAATTTTGGGGTACTTTCCTGGACTACCTTCCTCCCAGTGCCAGCAGAGATGCCATTGTGTTTACAGTTCTGAAAAGAAATACATATATAAATAAAATAAGTAAATGCTATTAAAAGTAATTCATGGGGGAGAAATTAGTAAAAACAGATTAAAAAAAAAACACACACAAAAACTAAAATAAATAAATAAATAAATAAATAAAATTTATATAAATAAATAAAAGCCTAAAAATTAATAAATAAATAAGAAAAGTAAAGTTTTAAAAACCCCTAACCACTGGGAAACATCTGCTGGGAGTCACATTTTATCCAAAAGTCTCACTCAAAAGAACTGCCTGACTGCCACTTCCTAAGCTGCTCTCATTGATGATGTCTGATGTGCCTAATTCTCCCCTAAGACTCCCAGTTTGATGTCAAGTGCTCAAATCTGGGGAAATGCAACAATGCAATGTCCTTTATCTGATCCTCCAGGATTGCTACAGGTTCTGTTTGGTTTTACTGGGCTGCACATGAAATATAAACAGTATAAAGAATGCTGGTGTTGATAATTATCTAATCTTTTGAATCTTGACACTAAGTGAGGATGAATTGACACAGAATTTGGCCATAGCTGGGCATAATTCACCTGCTAAGAAAGATGCTACCCACGAGGAAGCAGGACTGTGCATTGAAAAGATTATTCTTGATCATTGCTTGATTGTTTCCCTCTCCCTCATTCACTGCATGACAGGTGAATTGTTAGGCACAAATTAACACCTCTCTGAAGTTTCTCTTTGTCTTGCCATGGGAAACTGCCTTCAGGTAGTAAGGCCTGCTTTGTCACCAGCAGCTGAGCTTTTTCCAGATTTGGAATGAGATGAGGAAACTCTACAAATCTCAAAGCAAATACACCTACATGACTTGGGGCCCTCACTCTCCACATTTTCAGAGGCACAGATAGACCATGGCAATTAATTTCACATATATTGAAACAGAAATTGCTTAAACAGGAGTTGGAGGCCTTAATATTTCAGGGATGTGGGTCAGAAGGATCATTTTAGGTCCCCAAAGGTGATTTACTTGCAAAGGGGCTGAGAAAGTTAAATTACTTACCTTGAGGCTGAGGCCCCCTGACTTGCTATTACATTGCAGTGCATAGCAGAATCATAGAACAGAATCACAGAATGGTTAAGGATGGAAAATATCATCAAGTTCCCCCCAGCACTGCCAAGGCCACCACTGGCCCATGTCCCCAAATTCCACATCCACACAGCTTTAAATCCCTCCAGAGACGGGGTCTCCACCATTGCAGGACCACCCAGGGCTAGACAACCCTTTCAGTGAAGAAATTTTTCCTTAATATTCAATCTAAACCTCTCCTGGTACATCTTGAGGCTGTTTCCTCAAACCAAAATTTTTTTTATAAGCCTCATAATCTTCATCATTTAAGTTGGAATATATCTCTAAGATCACTGGCATGAGGATTTCCCCCAACAAATTTAAACTCTCAGAAGGGAGCAACAAAATCAATCCTGTGAACAGACAGAAGCACCTGTGAGGGAAAATACAGCCCAGTTGCACTTGGAACACTGGAGCAATTGTTTTTATTTTCAGAACCAGTGATGTCATCAAGAGCAATTTTTTGAGTAAAATAAAAGTACATATGTGCAGTTGCAAAAATGGAAGTTCAAACGCAAACAGTTTTTTAGAAAGTGTAATTTTTTTTCCTTTTACTGCTAATGAAAATATATAGATTAGAAGAAAATGGATAGAAGCTATGGTCTTAAGAAACTGACTAACTACAAATCCCTTCACTTTAGATTAAACATTCGTGGATTGGTCATCAGTTTAATCGGATAAGGCTGGGATCAGTGGGAGGTTAAGGATCAGATTTGCTAATGAGAACACTTCGAGAAATAATTCTAGGAAAAGCGTGCCCCTGGAATGGTGCACTGGGAAGGAAAGGAAAGAATTTTTTCAAGTGGAATTTTCCAGCAAACAGTCCTGGTGCCTCAGTCACAAAGC